CACAGCAACCTCTGCCTCCTGGGTTCAGGCAATTCTCCTGCCTCAGCCTCCTGAGTAGCCGGGATTACAGGCACGCACCACCATGCCCAGCTAATTTTTTGTATTTTTAGTAGAGACGGGGTTTCACCATGCTGACCAGGATGGTCTTGAACTCCTGACCTTGTGATCCACCCGCCTTGGCCTCCAAAAGTGCTGGGATTACAGGCGTGAACCACTGTGTCTGGCCGAAACTCCAACTTTCTATTTCAAAAAAGTCTTTGTCTTAGAAGTTTGTCTCTGCAGCAGGCTTGTTGAAATTTTCTTGCTAACCAAAATCCAAAAGGCACTTCCTGAATATAGCACTCTATACCAAACACAACATAGTTAATAGTAAATTATTACCTGGGATGTGTCTACGACTTTGTTTTTAAAAACTCATCATTCTCTAAGAATTTTTAAATCGAACATAATGTAACACGCAGAGACATTTAGTTGTTTTTCAAATGGAGAAGAGAGATTTATTGTCACACAGACATACCCAAGTTTTACCTTTGCTATTTCGCTCATTATTTTCTCATTTGGGTTCTCTTCATTTGCATTGGAATGTGTTTTTCTCTCTCAGAATATTTTTATTATATATTACTTTTGGTAGCACGTAGTATTCATATAATTGCCCCATATTTTTAATGTTGAAATAGCCTCTTAATAATCTATCGAAGCATCCATCATCTTCTCTTCTCCTGCAGCCTGCCTGATGGGGCCTGCCAAGAAATTTGGACAGAACCTTTTTGTTCTGTCACCCACACTCTGGCCCAGCAGCGCCCGTGGGAAACTCTGCAGGACCACGACTGCCCACGCATTGCCCACTAAAACCATTCTCTGTAATTGGCCTAATGAAGGTGTCATGCAACACATGATAAATTTAACATTATTTGCCCTGTCACTCTACAAATCAAAAGAAATTAGTTCATAAGACATAGTTTTGATGGTGGGGGTGTTTCTGATAGAAATCAAGATTATTAAAAATCTCAGGGCATTAAGCTTGAAAGTAAAACCGTTAGATCCATCAAGACGAATGGGGTCGATATTGGGAGAAGGTGTGTGTGTGAGCAGTTTGTCCGCCCCCTCCCCCGTCCCTAAAATTGGAAACACACCACCGAGAGGAAGTAATAACGCTGCAGTCCAATATTCAAAGTCAGATTTTTACTCATACTGATGGTTTCTAAGATTTTGGAATATTACTTTATGCCTCCATCTGAAAGTTGTTATAATACCGGAATTCCAGAGCTGTGTTCACTGCAGTATTTTATAAAAGTAATATTTTTCTGAGTTATTTTAGGGAGGATGTAAAATGAAAAAAAATTATGGCAGGGATAATTTTTTAGTCTTCCAAATCAACAATCCATATATTTGTCCTAACCCTCGCTGGTTGGAAAACATAATCTTTCACTGAAGGATTATCAGCTAGTAAATAGATTATAGGAGGGGAAAAAATCTCCTTCAGACTTACTTCACATTATTTAAGTTTTTACCTTGCTTCTCTCAATTTCCACCTTTTTCTCATCTCTTTACTAAGAAAATGAGATAGCATCTTTTTAAAAGGGAATGCCTGAAGTCATTCCTCGGTCCTTGCAACGCTGAGTTAATTCATTTCTGAAACAGATCAATGCCCGTCAACATTGCTGCCCCGTGCCCAGTCATTCCCGGTGATAAAGCACAAGAGACGACATACATGGCTGCCTGCCCCACTAGAGAGAGAGACGGGTAATCTTAATAGCATTCATTCCAAATATACAGGGCATGTCATGGTTGTTTGCCCAGAAATGCAGTATATCTGTGCTTCCAATATCACTCAGGAAGTTGCCAACAAAATGTGGTGTTTGAACTACATCGTAGAATCACAGCAAGAGGCGTTCAGTGCTCCCCAGAAGGGTTTTGACATACTCTTATCATTGTTTATCTTCGCATCTGTAATGTGTTAAAATAAAAATCTTAACCAAATCAAATTCAACAGAATTTAACTGAGTCAGGACCGATTTGCCAATCAGGCAGCCCTCCAAGCCAGAGCAGGATGAGCGAGACTCCCGCACGGCCACACCATAGCAGACTGATGGACAGAGAAAGGGAAGTGACATACTGAAAATGGAAATGAGGCACAGAAGCAGCTGGATTGCTTACAGCTCAGTGTTTGCCTTACCTGAATGTGGTTTGAACAGCTGGCCCCCTTGGATTCACCAAAGCTGGGCGATTGGTACAAGAGTAGGATATAGTCTGTTTATACCTCCTGTAGATTATAGTTCAATTCACTATGTACAAAGAAACCGTTATGCTAAACAGAAAACATGTGAGGGGGCAGTTAAGCTAAACTTGATTTAACAGATGCATAGTGTTGTTCATGCCTGGGAGCTTATTAAAAACAAAACATTTACTAGTTTTCTGTATGTCATACCAAATTTCGGTCCTACAGTTTCTGCCCAGCCTTTTGCTTAAGTTCAAACTTACTATAGATGTTTTAATGTGATTGCCTAACCATTGCATCTTTTTTTTATTCATTCAACAAACACAAATATTGTCCGTTTACATGGTAGATGGGCAGGTGGGACTCTAGGCACTGGGCGCAGGGCACGTCAGCAGTTAAGGGCAATAAGATGTTAAAAATATCAAATGATAGAAACGTGTAACAGAACATAGAGCTGAATGGGCAACAAAGAGTAAATATCAGCGATTTCTACCCTGTTCTAGAAACGTTCAGACTTACAGAATGTGACACATTAAAGTCTTCATCACACTTTTAGGAAATGCATTCAATGTTAATTCCATGTCTTTTAAAAGGACTGTTTTAAAAAATTATAAATCCTGTTATTGCATGGTAATGATGTTACCTTAGTAAACTAATGACACGTACGGGTGCTAATCCAGTAGACAGTATTAGAGTATTGACACAGCAACCAATTAAAGAGCAGAGTTTCCAAACCAAACTTTGGGAAAGCATTAACACACAGCTCCCACTCAAGGAGCACTGCAGGCTACTTATCTGTTGTCTGTGGGCAAATGATTCGTTCTTCTGAAGCTATCTGGGCTAATAGCTATTATTCTTGTCAATATTCTATCAATACTAGAGTCGTTTAACTGTATCCATTGGCTCCAACAAACACAATTTAAGCTGATGATGGCATTCGATGAAATGAAGAAGAGCGTAAACATCGCAATCAAAGCCAATCTTGGGATAGTTCCTCCATCCACAAGAGAATCCATCTAGTTCTGACATTTGAAGTGTCCCGTAATTATGGGACGACAATGAAAGCTGACTTTTTTTTTTTTTTTTTGAGACGGAGTTTCGCTCTTGTCACCCAGGCTGAAGTGCAATGGCATGATCTCAGCTCACCACAACCTCTGCCTCCTGGGTTCAGGCAATTCTCCTGCCTCAGCCTCATGAGTAGCTGGGATTACAGGCACGCACCACCATGCCCAGCTAATTTTTGTATTTTTAGTAGAGACGGGGTTTCATGATGTTGACCAGGATGGTCTCGATCTCTTGACCTCGTGATCCACCCGCCTCGGCCTCCCAAAGTGCTGGGATTACAGGCGTGAGCCACCGTGCCCAGCCCTGAAAGCTGAGTCTTGACTGAAGACACATAAAAGTTGGAACATTTCAAAAAACTTTTCCAATTTCTTCATCAATAGCTCATCCAGTTGGTGCAGTAAAGTAAAATAGATGAGTTCTCAGAGAAGACTAAGCTACAGAAGAGACGAACGAAATTTGTTTTATTACTGAAATAAGTCATTTTTAAATTACCTTGTCATTTAAATTGGGTTTAGCTTCTCTTAATTTGCAACATGAATTACCATATTTTACTCTTCAAAATATTGAACAGAGAATCAATGCCAAGGCAATATTACATATAAAACACTACCCTTTTTTTTATAATGTTCAGCTATTAAACTTGTCTCAAATAAATAACTCTTCTAGCATGTTCATTTATAACCAAGAAAGTGTTGTAGGTCTTAAAGTATTATAAAACCTGTAGGACTTGCCTACATGCAGTGGTTCAAAGAATATCAAAAACACTGAAGCATTGGCCCTCGTGGTCTCTCAAGTGGTAACACCAATCACCTTCATTTGCAGATGTGGATAATAACACAGAGGTAAAATGAATAAACACCCAGGCATTGGGTCCCACTTGTAGCTGTGGCCTCCACTAGTTTCTTGTTACCAAAACACTCTAGTCCCTCTAAATCACTTAGACCTTAGAACAGAGAGACTACCAGTTTCTGGGGTCTTGTTTTCATGAGTGAGTTTCTGTAGCGTTACCATACTTGTTGCCTTCCAGACCTTCTCTATAGGCTTGTGGATTATTTTCAACAATACTCTTTCTGGATTTTTATTTTTTACGATTTGTTTTTTAAGTTTTTGACTTTATTATTATAGAGAATAGCCTGGACATTAGGATTTTTTTAAAGAAGCTTCCTGGGTGATTTCATGTGTGACATTTGTAAACAATTATTCTATACTACATTTTCTGTCATAATATAAATAAAAGCATAGAAAAGTCTAGATTTTGTAGATAATTGACTTAATTCTTTAATTCACCAAGATATGTAAGTATTAGGCTTCTCCTAAGTTAATAAACAGAAATGTAGTTTCCATGAGTTTCCATGTAACGTCTTTATAGTTGAAGTGTATGTGTAATAGATCATGTCTAAATGACAATACTCTAACATTGTGGGGTAAAATCAACACCCTTTGAAACTCAAATGTAAACACACTCTTTCTAGAGTCAACCATGATAGCACCAGTCATTACAATGTTGCAACATTTTAATTTTTTTTTTAATTTTTTACTGCATTTTAGGTTTTGGGGTACATGAGCAGAACATGCAAGACAGTTGCGTAGGTACACACATGGCAGTGTGTTTTGCTTCCTTTCTCCCCTTCACCCACATTTGGCATTTCTCCCCAGGCTATCCCTCCCCACCTCCCCCTCCCACTGGCCTTCCCCTTTTCCCCCCAATAGACCCCAGTGTGTAGTACTCCCCTCCCTGTGTCCATGTGTTCTCATTTTTCATCACCCGCCTATGAGTGAGAATATGCGGTGTTTCATTTTCTGTTCTTGTGTCAGTTTGCTGAGAATGATGTTCTCCAGATCCATCCATGTCCCTACAAACGACACGAACTCATCATTTCTGATTGCTGCATAAAATTCCATGGTGTATATGTGCCACATTTTTCCAATCCAGTCTATCATCAATGGGCATTTGGGTTGATTCCAGGTCTTTGCTATTGTAAACAGTGCTGCAATGAACATTCGTGCACATGTGTCCTTATAGAACGATTTATAGTCCTTTGGATATATACCCAGTAATGGGATTGCTGGGTCAAATGGAATTTCTATTTCTAAGGCCTTGAGGAATCGCCACACTGTCTTCCACAATGGTTGAACTAATTTACACTCCCACCAACATTTTAATTTTAAAGGGCAGGGGCTTCCTAGTAGATTTCACTCCTGCCCTCAGTTCTGCCTGTGGGGTACAGCGAACTCAGCTTACTCAGTCTTCTATGTAAAAGCTGCTTTCGTTTCAATGCTCGTCCCTTCCAAAACTCAAGTTGAAACTTAATTGTCATTGTGATGATACTGGGAGGTGGTACCTTTAAGAGGTGCTTCGGTCCTGAGGGCGCTGCCTTCATGCATGAGCTGCTGCTCTTATTGCGGAAGGTCTCTGTCTTCCTCCCTCTCTTTGCTCCTCCTGGGACTTCTTCTCCATGTTATAATACAGCAAGGAGGCCTTTGTCACATGGCGGCCCCTCAATTTTAGACTTTCCAGCCCCCAGAAATGTGAGTTAATAAATTTTTGTTCATTATAAATTACCCAGCCTGTGGTATTCCGTGATAGCAACAAAAAATGGACTGAAAGGTACTTTACATTTTAATGAAATTGGCATATTTTCTTTCCCATTTTTCTTCCCCTTCCCAGAAATAGAAATTGCATATGGATGCCATCCACACCAATACTCCTCTAGAATCCAATTACAGTTCTTTCAGTCATTCAGTGACATCTGTTTCTACATTAAAGTCACTCTCAAAGTTAATGACTTAAACCAGCAGCTCATTAGTTTATTTCATCGTTCTCTGGTTTGACTGGCCTTATAGTTGATGATTAGAATCTCCCAGGTAGTTAGACAGCAGTGGGGCTGGAGTCATCCGGAAGCCACGTGGACGCATCTCCAGCCTGGGGTCTTCACTCCCCTCCATGACCCTTCCCCCGACTGGCCTCCACATGTGCTCCTCTCCAACTCTAAGGAAACTGCCACTTAGCTGGGCCTTTTTATTTTTTGATGGAGTCTCATTCTGTCACCCAGGCTGGAGTGCAGTGACACAATCTCGGCTCAATGCAGCCTCCGCCTCCAGGTTTAAGCAAGTCTTCTGCCTCAGCCTCCCAAGTAGCTGGGATTACAGGCTGCCAACATCATGCCCGGCTAATTTTTAATTTTTGTAGAGATGGGGTTTCACTGTGTTGGTCAGGCTGGTCTCAAACTCCTGACCCCAGGTGATCCATGGCTTGGACTTTTAATAGCTTGAGAATCCCAAAGTAGTCACACTTCTAAAATGGCAGCTGACTTCTAAAAAGCAGGAAACAGGAGCTTTGGGAGTATTTAAGGGCTACATCCAGAACCAGCACAGTAATATTTTGGCTGCATTTCATTGGTCAAAGAAGTTATTACACTTGCCCCTATTAAGGAGGAGGAGAAGTGGACTCCATTGCTTGACAGGGGTCAGGTATAGAAGAGCCTGTGGAAGAAATTGTGATCACACATGGTTAAAAAACACAATCTGCCACATTAAACAAACCTTTGATGAGTGCCCTTCATGCCCAGATGCCAGGCTAATTCCTGAGGATTAGAATGCAAGTAACCCACAGTCCCTGCAGGTGAATAATTGTAGCAGCTGACTCACATCCTACCTCCGTCCCCTGGCCTTGCCCACAGGAACTGATGTCAGGATATTTACATCAATATCAGTAACTGCCTGATACTCACATAGATAGTTCTTTTAACTACAGCCATAACTTTGCTTCAACCCCTGTAAAGCTCTACCTGGTTGGTCTCACCCTCTAATGTAACCTAAAAACCTCATTCTGAATATCTGCCTCTTCAACTGTCGTTACCCGCTAAGCACACTGTCCATGCTTTATATAAATTGGTCACTTTCTTTCTCAACACATATTCGTTGAGTACTTTCAATAACGAAGGCATTGATAAAAATATATACATAAAATGGAAGATGACGAATCACTTAACCGCTTGTCATACTACTAGATTCTCTCCAAGGCTAATATCGATTCATCAACACATCCAGAATACAGCTGTTGAAGTGAACCAAAACCTCTGCAAACGTGATATACACCAGCCCGTATTTCTACAAGTTTACACAGAAAGACATTGAAGGTTTCACGGGGGCTGTATTTGCTATATCTGACGTATGAGAGTCGTATCCTAACAAAAAAGGAATAGATTTAGTTTAATGACTTAATGCAAATATACACGGGTCCCACTTAATTACTGTTTTCTATTTTAGGGTCTTACATGATACTCGTTTTGTGATATTTTATATTTTATTATCTTTTTGAGTATTTTTTTTTTTTTTTTTTTTGAGATGGAGTTTCGCTCTTGTTACCCAGGCTGGAGTGCAATGGTGCGATCTCGGCTCACTGCAACCTCCGCCTCCTGGGTTCAGGCAATTCTCCTGCCTCGGCCTTCCGAGTAGCTGGGATTACAGGCACGCGCCACCATGCGCAGCTAATTTTTTGTATCTTTAGTAGAGACGGAGTTTCACCATGTTGACCTGGATGGTCTCGATCTCTTAACCTCGTGATCCACCCGCCTCGGCCTCCCAAAGTGCTGGGATTACAGGCTTGAGCCACCGCGCCCGGCTGCTTTTTGAATATTAACAACTTACTTTATTTCAAGTGATCTTTGAAACCACCAAAACCTGTGTCACAAGAATCAGTAGTTAAAATGTAATCAGTACAGTCAGGTGAACGTGAATCTTTGATCTCGTCATCTAGAATCCATCACAGTACTGTTTTGTCTTAAGTCGTCCTTAATAGCAGTACTAATTACTGTACCGTAAGTATTCTGGCTACAAAGAATTACAATTGAAACTCTTTGGTCTGCAAATTAATAAACCAAAATGGAGTTATGTATGAGACCATTTCTTTCATAGCTGAACCCACCATGAGGGTCTAAATGCTATAATCTCTCACACAGAAACTCTTCAAATACGACGAACACCTGACTTGAGCTTTGAAAGAGTACAATTTTCTGAAATATGAACACATAGATTTGGTTTCTGGTAGCTAAATTTAGTTTTTCCATTTTTATTTTGCATGCCAATAACCAGGACCATAAATGCACTTGGAAATAATAAATTATAAATTATTTGGAATAAATAAAATAAAATGAAAGTTGTTTCTAAGTTTTGCAGGCTAGTTTCATTCGTCTACTGAATCAACTCTTTTGTGGCAGAGTCGTGCTGCTTTTGGATCTGACACTTTAGGGTTCCCTGGAAGTCACCTGGGATGGGCATTCTGGAAGCTCTCTCCTGTTGGGGTTTCCTGTCCATGCAATATACTTCTCATCTGAAAAACGAGAATACTACCAAAGTCTGGTTTGTTGCAGGCCCGGATATAATTATATCCCACTATGCCTTCCATCTCTAAAATATTTCTCAAATATTAACTAATTAAATCAATTGTAATTGATGGAGTAACTTGCTTAGAATTAGTGACTATATTTTTTTCAGAATTACACGAACCCACTCCAGACTATTAAGAATCCTGATGTCACCTGATAAATGTTACCAATCTACACCATTACAAATATTTACCCATTTTATGGGATTCTGTTTTTAACCTATATGGAAACCAAGTCACTGGGCTTTACAGCTCTGTAAGATCAGAGACGTCAATCATTCCAACATTAAAATTAAAGGCTTTCCAGATTCCACTTATGAGTCTTACCCACCAGACCATAAATTCTACTTTAAAAATAATTAAATCCCCCTTTGTTTCAAATGAGAATAGACCTAAGAGTCTTAGGTTCAAGTGCCAGAATGAAAGGATTTGTCACAAAACCACAAAAAGAACTTGGATTAAAGAAGCCCTAATGAAGATCTGACATTTAATCTGCTCTTTTATTGGATAGGGTCTTTAATATTCTGTGGTTATGAATTCATTTCATATTCACTTGGAATAGTATTTGATCATAGGAACGTGACCCTGTGCTGCTACTAAAAGAAGATTATTAAGCAGTGAGTTCTGGCAGGGACACCCCCACCCTCTACCCTCCCTCACCCCACTTGGAGAGGTAAGAATTTCAGTAATGTTGCCATGACGTCGCAGTGGGAACCTTTCAAACCCTGCAGCGCCTTTATCAATGGACCTGTTCTAAGGACAAATACTGGCAACTTTGTTTTTTTTTTGAGACGGAGTTTTGCCTTTGTTACCCAGGCCAGAGTGCAATGGCGAGATCTCGGCTCACTGCAACCTCCGCCTCCTGGGTTCAGGCAATTCTCCTGCCTCAGCCTCCTGAGTAGCTGGGATTACAGGCACGCGCCACCGTGCCTAGCTAATTTTTTTTTGTATTTTTAGTAGAGACGGGGTTTCACCATGTTGACCAGGATGGTCTCGATCTCTTGACGTTGTGATTCACCCGCCTCGGCCTCCCAAAGTGCTGGGATTACAGGCGTGAGCCACCGCGCCCAGCAAGACTGGCAACTTTGTAATAAAACGTTCATGTTTGCTGTGCCTCTTCTGAAGTATCCCCAGCATTAGTAAAGGAAAATGCTAACAGGGCTTAGATGGCAGATGGGCTTCCAAGGACCATCACCTCCTAATCCGGTCACCTTGTGGCCACCCTAACAACATGCACTGAGACAAACAACACTGTGCCAAAGGCAAACAGTGTGTTCTATTTATTAACATACATAGAGAAGCAGGTGAGCCAAAATAATATACTAAAAAATGGAGCCATATTTTAAGCAAAAAATTAAAAAATAATTTTGTGAAACTGACTTACAGTTGAAGGTCTAACAGCACCTTTTCCTCTTTGTTTTTCCTCAAGAAGTTTCCAGTTGGCTGAAAATTTGCATAAAGCCCAAGAGAGTTCTAAAATTGACATCCTGTCCTACACCACATTCAACTCCCATCCAGCGCCTGCCTCATCTCAACAAAAACAGTGAAAGTAGAAACAGGCCATAAGAATAACAATGATAATTTGGTTTTCAGAATCCCAGTCAAGTGTGTGTGTGTGTATGTGCATGTGTATATACTTGTGTGTATGTGTGTATATATGTGTGTGTATGTGTGCATACGTGTGTGTGTTTGTGTGTGTATGTGTGTGTATATACTTGTGTGTATGTGTGTATATGTGTGCATATGTGTGTGTGTGCGTGTATGTGCGTGTGCATATACTTGTGTGTATGTGTATATACATGTGTATATGTGTGCATACGTGTGTGTGTTTGTGTATGTGTGTGTAAGTGCGTGTGTATATACTTGTGTGTATGTGTATATACATGTGTGTATGTGTGCATATGTGTGTGTTTGTGTGTGTATGTGTGTGTATGTGCATGTGTATATACTTGTGTGTATGTGTGTATATACATGTGTATATGTGTGCATACGTGTGTGTGTTTGTGTGTGTGTGTGTGTAACCTTCTGTTGTTCACATAAACTTAACAGGAAACCTGTAAAAGAGAAACATTTGTTTTCAGAGTCAAAAAGAAAATATATTTCCACATTATCAGTAATTTTTATTCACTGTCAAAACAATTGTGATGGGTGTTTGTGTGTGTGGCTTTCAATTAGCTCATTTGTGGAAGAATCTGAGCTTTTTCTAAACCTTTATGGAGGCAGAAAAGACTTCAGACTGTACCACAGGGGTTGGATGTTTATCCTCAGAAAAGCCCATGGAAAGGCTTTCTATCGACCCTAGAAGATTACAAGTAACTCTCTCAAGGTTTTCAACTTTATGTTCAGATCTTGAAGTCCAATGTGGCTGAAGACAAAATATTATATCAAAAAGAGATTATGCGGGGAAAGGATTTAACCATATTGCATTTTTCACGGAGAAAGAAAAACTAGAGGCACTAACAGCATTTTCTTGCTGAGCTTAGTTTTGCCCACATCGTAATAGCTTTTGTCTTTCCAAGTGAGGAGTAGGTTTAGGGATATTTTGTTGGCTCGAAGTAAAGGTTTTGTGTCTCTGTGAAGAGATGGGATTTAGTGGGGTCTCTATGCAGACCCCTCATCACACGTATCACAGTGACTTGGACGGGGGAGGAAAGACTTCCTTTCGTACCCATCACTAGGTTCGTGGCTGGAGCCCATGTAACAAGAGACAGATTAGCAAGCAGAAAGCTGCACATTTACCAAAGCAGGTCTCAGGTGACAGGAGGAACAGCGTGATCTGTGCATCTGATGCTGGATTCAGGAAGCTGATGGCCCTGGAGAAGTATGACTGGACCAAGGAGGAAGGACCTAACAGCAGCAGAGGCAACGGTTTTCTCACCAGGCCTGTTAGTATTCTCAGATGCTTCCCGGCGTCCTCATGTGCTGAGAGACAAGGACATTCGTTACTTCCGGGTATCAGGTGGGCACCTGTCACATGCAGATCTTAAGACCTAATTCTGGGGAAGATCAGAAAGTTCCTTTATAGCTTATTGTTGTTGATGTTGTTTTTGAGACGGAGTCTTGCTCTGTCCAGCTTGGGCTGGATTGCAGAGATGCAACCTCTGCTAACTGCAACCCCACTTGCCCGTGATGTGTTTGCAGCTGAGCCCAGTTTCTCTCCCCCACCGTGAAAGCCCATGGCAGTGATCTCTTTGCTTATCAAGGTAGGCCCCCTGAATGAACTCTGTTTTATCATTTTAACAAACGTCATGAGTGATTCTTTTTTCTTGTCAGTAAGCTAGACTTCTGTGGTGTTATAGAAAATACATTTGGTCACTGACACTGGTTCCTGGCGTAGAGCTCCGGAAGCCCTGGGATTTCTGAAGTGATAGGAGTGTCTTCTGTTGCTCATGATAAGCCTCTTTCAACACTACTGAGTCTAAGTTAAGAAGGTGACTCTTGCTGGGCCCCTAGAAGGTTGACATTTTCAGCTGTCTATAGCTTCCCCTGCCTCTGAAAAGGGAAGAGGGGCTGCAGATTGAGTTCAATCACCAATGGTCAATGCTTTGATCAATTATGCTGTGTAATGAAACCTCCATTAAAACCCATAAACGATGGGGCCTTGAGAACCTGTCGGATGAGGAAGCCCTCAAGGTGCTAGGCAGGCAGGAACCCAGGGAGCGTGTGGCAGCTCCAGGCACGCACACACCCTGAGTCCCTGCCTGTGCATCTCTTGCATGTGGCTCTTCCTGAGCCACATCTTTCAGAGTAAACCAATACTAGTAAGTAATACTTTCTCTGAGTTCTAGGAGTCATTCTAGTGAGCTTTGAAACCCGCACGAGGAGATGTCAAGGGAACCTCCAAATTTGTTGTCAGCCAGGCAAAAATGTGGGTAGCCTGGGCAACCCGTTTGTGCTGCCATCTGAGGTGGAGGGAGGCAGTCTTGTGGAACCAAGTGTCAGAATGGAGTGAATTATTGAACACTCAGTTGGTGGGGAATTGGAGGATCGGTGCCGAAAAACGTCCCACATCTTTGGTGTCGGGAAAAAAAACCTCGTAACCACATACATGAGCTTCAATAATTCCCCTGCCATTCCAGAGTCACTTCTGCCTTCAGATATGGGGAATACAGCTAACACCTCAGGCCTCACGCTGAACGGATCAGCCACTCCTCTGAGGTTCAACAAGAACCACATTCTCTTGCAGTTGTGATTATTGGTCCATCTCTCCCACAGGAGCATGAATTCCCGGTACGCAGGAATCAGGGTTATTTATAGCTGTCATAGTCTAGGCAGTCAATCAATATTGGTTTAATAAAAGGAAAAAAGTTCTAATAGAAGCTGTAACTAATGCCTTTGCTCTAAGCAGAAGCAAATAATGATTTGCCAAACACTAACCTGTCCTCAGAACTATAATGAAAATTGAGCTAGAGGAGCTGGATTGGCCATAATAATAGCTCTCTGCAGCTGGACGGACCCAACAAAGCTATATATAATATTTGAAACGGTGTATAGAATATTGATTAAATTTACAATACGTGGAAAATACCGAATGATGCTGAGGATGAGGAGTAACTGGAATTCTCATAAATTGCTTGTAGGACTGCAAGAAGGTTTCACAAATATTTCCCGCAAGACTTAGCAGTCACACTCCTGGATAGTTGCCCAAGAGAAATGAAAATGTGTGTTTGCACAAATATGTGCAGGCAGATATTCCGGCAGCTTTATTCTCAGTAGCCCAAAACTGGAGGGAAAGAAGAAAAAAATCAAAATTTCCATCAGTGGGTAAGTCAATCGTGGTACATTTATACATCTGAATTTTACTAAGCCGTGAAAAGGAAACAACGGCCGATACAGCCAACAATGAAGGAAAATAAAAAATATTAGTCAAGTGACAGAATCCAGGCCCAGACTGTATGATTCCATTCAGATGCCTTTCTAGAGAGGGCCACGCTAGGAGCAGGAAGCAGATGGGTGGCTGCGAGCGCTGGGTCTCGGGGGAGAGGACCCCCTGCCACGAGGCACGGAGAATTGGGGTGAGGGACACATTCTGCGTCATGATCGCGGTGATCGTGAAGTATGATTAGAGATTGTTTTCCCCTCTTGTTGTCAGGTTCATAACTTAGATTCCTACAACAAAAGACAGATTAACAAGAGAAAGGCATACACATTCATTTATTGCAAGTTTTACATGATGTGAAGACTTTGCAAGTGAAGACCGAACAGGAAACCCTGTGCATTTTTATGCTAAAGTTGGTAATGAAGGGTGTAGCAGGGACATATGACTGGAGACCGAAAGCCTTGATACAATAGTAATAAATGGGGAGAAATTGAGCAAGGCCTGTTTCTTCAGATTCCTCTTGGAATCTCTGTGTCTTGAAGGACGAAGATGTTCCTTTCCTAGGGTATAGGGAGGGTAGCCCTGAAGTGAAGGTCTTATGATCTGCTTTAGAGGAAGGTCAGAGAGTTATTTTATGGCCTGTTTCATGGGAGATGGAGCAAGAGGAAGGTGAGAGTGACCTTTCTGCATCTGCCGCTTCCTCAGATGCCAAGGTCACCTGTTTTGGGGTACTCTATCCAGAACCGAGTCGCCTTTCTGAATCATACTTAATCAACCGTGACTTTAAGATACTACAATTCATTGTTTAGTCCTGCTGTGGATATAGGAATTAAAAAGAAATTACTTAAGCAGATAGTGAAGGTACGGAAGTCCTCGGTAAAGATTTTCTGTTTTAATGAAAAGTCCCAAAGTCACTTTCTAAGAATGAGCTGCAGACACAGACAAAGCGGCCGGAAGCTCGCACAGGTGGACAACAGCAGGAAGAAGCTACCCGGCCCATCTCCCCTTCCCTTTGCCAGCCACATGTGCAGTAAGGAGCAGACAAGATGGCACCAATCACTTGGAAAGTCCATTTGCATAAGAATAGTAGCGTGGCGTGGCCAGACTCCTCTGCATGCTGTGTAAACCTCACACCTGATCTAAATCTGCGGGCCCTTTGTAAACCAGACACCGCCCCTGAAACTGTGTACAAAGCCTGGGGCACTCTGCCACTGGCCGGCCTTTCCCTTCCAGAAGCCCCTCTCTTCTCTTTCTCACTCTGCTTAGTAAATCTCACTCCTAAACTCCTCCATGTGCATCTGTGTCCTTAACTTTCCTGGTGTGAGACATCGAACTACGGGGATTTACACCAGACGATGACACCACTTCACTATGAAGTTGGAAAAATGTAGAACTTGAACATCGTATAGTCATCTTTTTTGCCTTTGTTATGTTTCCAGGACACAGAAGTAGAAATTCCCTTCCCAATAGTAGGAATTTCTGACATTTTTTGTTAACCTGAAATTCTTTTTACTTTATTATTTTCCTGTCTTATTAAGAAGTCTGTGGTAGAGGGTGGAAGCAGTAACAGCCAGCCCCCTTCACATTTCTGTTGCTTGATCTTTTACTCTAGTAAATAAACCAAAACATTCTATCTTTAAATATGAAGTAACAGTCAGCCATGAGCCTTGGCATGCAGGAATAGCGAAGGAGCTCCTCACCACCTTACATGCTACGTGGTCTTGTCCCAAGGCTCTGGCATTGATACAGCACCTCCAGAATCACAGTAAACCTTCACGAGTCACAGTTCATTCGATGCAAATCCTGTAGGGCATCTCCTCTAAAACCATAAAGAGCTATTTCATTAGTTTAAAAACGATGAGAATTTCTCAACCATTACTGCCAGTGCAAACAAGGGGGAAAACCGTGTTAGAAACTAAACTGTTCCCAACCCTTATTTTGACTAAATGCGGGTGTCGACTTTTAAATACTATTAACTCTTAGGGCCTGTAAACCAGAGTAGAATGTATTGTAAAGAAGAAAGAGAAAAAAGAAGGGAGGGAGGGATGGGAGGGAGGAAGGAAGGAAGGAAAGAAAGAAGGAAGGAGGAAGGAAGGGAAGGAGGGAGGGAGGGAGGGGGAAAGGGAGGAAAGAAGGGAAGGAAGGAAGGAAGGGAAGGAAGGAAGGGAAGGAAGGGAGGAAAGGGGAAAGAAAGGGAGGGAAGAGGGAAACAGAAACAAAAAAAGACGAAAAGAAAAGAAGGGAGAAAGAGAAAGATGAAATGAAGGAGAAAGAAAAAAGAGAAAAGAGGAAAGGGAGAGAGGGAGGGAGGCAGGAAAGGAGGGAGGGAGGGAAAATCCAGCCAGAAGGAAATTCTTTGCTTAAGTGCAAAAATATGGCTGCAGATTGTAAAGAATGACCTGAGAGAATTAATGCTTCTTTGAAAATCTGAACACAGCCTCTCTATATTTCAGAATTATTAGGGAAAAGAGAAACACAGATACCAGAAACCCCATAATAACTGTGCGTCTTACTCATCATTTATGTCCCTGTCACGGGCAGATTTTATAAGAGTTATTAGCAAGTTAAACCAAGGCGATAGGCTTTTCATCTGATTTTCTGCTTTGCCTACGCAAAACAGATGACATATTTTCCTCAAAGCCCAAGTTCCTTCTTTACTGTGCTATTTCTGTCAACTATATGCTTACAAAACATGGTGTCATCTGACTCTTCCCACCCGAATCCCAGTGTGCAGGCAGCTCCCAGCCCTCCTCTGGGGGTGCCTCACACGCCACTCCGACACCTTCACCCAGGACGAGGCACCATCTCTCATCTCCAACACCTTCACCCAGGACGAGGCACCTTCTCTCATCTCCAACACCTTCGCCCAGGACGAGGCACCTTCTCTCATCTCTAACACCTTCGCCCAGGACGAGGCACCTTCTCTCATCTCCAACACCTTCGCCCAGGACGAGGCACCTTCTCTCATCTCCAACACCTTCATCCACGACGAGGCACCATCTCTCATCTCCGACACCTTCGCCCAGGACGAGGCACCATCTCTCATCTCCAACACCTTCATCCACGATGAGGCACCATCTCTCATCTCCGACACCTTCGCCCAGGACGAGGCACCATCTCTCATCTCCAACACCTTCACCCACGATGAGGCACCATCTCTCATCTCCAACACCTTCACCCACGATGAGGCACCATCTCTCATCTCCAACACCTTCGCCCAGGACGAGGCACCTTCTCTCATCTCCAACACCTTCGCCCAGGACGAGGCACCATCTCTCATCTCCGACACCTTCGCCCAGGACGAGGCACCATCTCTCATCTCCAACACCTTCATCCACGACGAGGCACCATCTCTCATCTCCAACACCTTCACCCACGATGAGGCACCATCTCTCATCTCCAACACCTTCATCCACGACGAGGCACCATCTCTCATCTCCAACACCTTCGCCCAGGATGAGGCACCATCTCTCATCTTCAACACCTTCACCCACGACGAGGCACCATCTCTCATCTCCAACACCTTCGCCCAGGACGAGGCACCATCTCTCATCTCCAACACCTTCGCCCAGGACGAGGCACCATCTCTCATCTCCAACACCTTCGCCCAGGACAAGGCACCATCTCTCATTTGGCTTCCCTGCCTCAAGGTTTTTGTCTCACTCGGTCCATGTAACTTCCACTTCTAATGTAATTCCTTTTTTAAAAAAATAATTTGTGTGCTTCAGTCTCCCCCAGGAAAACCTCCAGTGGCTCTTTACTACAGCTGAAAATTAAAACCGATTTAACAAGTCAAAAATTATAACACTTAAAAACGCAACTATCTCCAAAATGTTGCCACTATTCACCTAAATTAACCCTTAGTTCAAACCTCATTATTCTCTCAAGAGTGTGCTGTGTTTGTTACCTGATATGAACCTTTGGAAAGAGATTGTTGGTGGGAAAAAAGTGTTCAAAAAACGTTGGCCAGACTTATTAAGGATGTCCTCCCTGAAGCTTTTCGGTATGTGAGGACTTCCCGTTCCTCAGTGCAGGCTGCAGGTCCCCAGCTGGCTAAGCCCCATGCTCAAAGCACTCTCCCTCCTCAACCGTGGCATTAGTCAGCACCATGCTTTTAAGATTTAACATGTTACGGCCACATTTGAGTGTGTGTGTGTATACACATCAACATATGTAGGGACATGTAGGTTATTCAACATACATTTACACTGTGTGTGATGCAGCATTGCCAGGGGTAATACCAGGCACTCACCCTCTTGTGCGGAGGAAATGAAGCACACAAACGCATGTGGGTGTGTTAGGGAAAGTGTAATAGGCAGAAGAAGGGAGAGAGGAGCAGCTCTTGGCGAGAGGTGTGTCCGAAACAGGGATTTGTGTTGACATAAAAATCATTCTGTTAAAACTTTATCTGAAAGAAAAAGAACCATTATGACGCTGTTTAAACTTTGCTCTTTATGTATTTCTAATATGCAGTAAAATTTGCTGCCACCAACCAGCAGTGAGGCCTTGACACGATCCTTTGCCCCTCTGTGTTCTGATATCCTCCATGGTGCTGGAGATCTCACTCCTCGAGACGCCACCTGCTTGCATTTGCTTCTGCTGCTCCCACCACGAGATCTTTGACCACAGAAGGTAAATGAATCATTCAAGACCTAGGTTTCTTATCTGTAAAGCAGGGATAATAATAATCATAACAACCTCATCAGGTTATAAGAGTCAGTTCATACACAAACACACACACACATCATACACATACAAAACACAGACAACAGAATCTTCAGTGCTGTATGTGTTAACTACATTGTTTTCACCTTTAAGATCAGAAGCTTATGACGGAATCTGAGAGCTCCCTTTCAGTTGCAAATTGTTTTTTTTATTTTTAATTTTGTTCTCAGGAATCAATATAATTTTTAAACTGGGGGAATTTTAATTGCTGATTGAGGTTATCATATTTAGATAGTTCAATAAAGAATTAAACTTTTATTTTTAATTAAAAATTGAGAAGGTATCCTGTTTCTACTGGTAAAGAGATTAAACCTTAGACTCTGAACAGAGGATACGCCTTGGCCTATAAACCAAACAGGAACCAGAGCAGCACAGCTGACCTTGGGGCAGCACCCAACACAGATAAAGGGACCTGCGTGACATAATCCACCTCACCCATTGACCTTACAGACATAGAGTTCTGAAAATACCATCACTGTGAAAGTGGCCTGCTGGGCAAACCAGAAGATTGGCCTCAGTCTGCAGAGGAATATTCTCTTTCTTGTGCTATCACACCTCAAAGAAATGAGTGTAGTGCCGTAAAGCTATATGACTAACGAAACTCATATGGAAATGAGTGTAGTTCCGTAAAGCTATATGACTAATGAAATCAATTTTCTGGCTAACTGGTCAGATAAATGGCTGATTGGCACATGAGGTACTACCTATGTCTTTCACCACCATCCCTCTCATGACAAATAACCTCAAAGTGGTTAATTAGAAAGTCAGATATTGAGTTTGATTAATTATTATAAATGAGTTAAAATCATGCTTCGGTTAACTTTTTTCATACATTATTTTTTCCTCCAACCCTGTTGCTCTAGCTTATGAGTCATGCTGATTGGATTCATTTTCTTTTGCTAAGTAGAACTGCCCAGAATTTACTAAATACAACAAGAAAATAGAATATTTTAGAATAACTAAAGCAATCAAATATTTGTTCTGGCAAAGAAAAACCTTTTTACCCAAAATCTTCTTTTTGTACTAACTTTGAAGCCAGTGATATATCTTAAGTGTTTTGCTTCCTTCTGCTTCCTACCCTCTTCTCACTTCCCCTCATCCTGGACAGACACAAACACACACACACACGCACACAATACACACACACAAACACATACACGCACACAATACACACACATACACACATATATACACAAACACAAACACACACATGCACACAATATACACACATACACACATGCGAACACACAAACACATACACACACAATACACACATACACACACAAACACATACACACACAATACACACATACACACACAAACACATACACATACACGTACACAATGCACACACAATACACACACAGGCACACAATACATACATACATACATGCAACCACACAAACACATACACACATACACATATAAATACACACACATACACACATACATACACAAACACATACACATACACATACACGCACAAAATGCACACACATACATACACACATGCACACACACAAACACACACAATACATACACATACACACACACACACACACACACACACTCTTTTTGGCAATAAAAGGATGCCGGCAATAAAAATGAAGGCTCAATATGTGTTATCTCAACACTAACAATATGTGTCATTCCAGAGACAGGCAGGTTTTGGGACAGAAAGTGCTGATGCATTTCAAACTTGAGTCTGTGTCATCATGGGTGAATCTGGAAAAGACGCTTCCCACCATCAAAGAGAAGGCCAGGAAACAACCATTGTCTCCGTGGGCATGGTGGGCCTCTAGCTGCATTCTCAGAGCCTCTATTCCTCCAGGCAGACACATTTAGTGAAGAATAACATGAAAGGACACGAGGCCGGGGCTGGTAGTTTGCTGTTACTTGCCTCTCATTTTGCAATCAGTTTAAGATGGGAAAGCCTACCTACATTTTTTACAAAATATCAGTAGAAAAAAATGGAAAAAGAAACAGCGTTCTCTCCAGCCTCTCAGAAGGGCTGCAATGAGCGGGGTGGTAAATTACGGGGAAGTCACACATTGTGGCTCAGCATCTCCAAGAACAAAGCCAGGGACAGGTTTTCACAAGAGAAATCTCAGGGGAATATAAGTAGATAATATAACACAAGACACGCCACAGCCGCAAAAACTGAAACAAGTAGCAGGGCAATGCGGCTTTTGGGAGGCTTAGAGTCTAGTCTTGATTCCGACACAGGTCATGTGGTCACGTGCCCGTAATGGCGTCTCAGCCGATGATAGGCCACATGTACAGCAGTGGTCCGTAAGATTAGAGCACTGTATTTTTATTGTACCTTTTCTATGTCTAGATACACAAATACTTACCATTGTGTTATAACTGCCTCCAGTATTCAGTAGAGTCACCTGCTGTACAGGTTTGTAGCTTACGAGCAATAGACATTATCATCCAGCTTAGGTGTGTAAGAGGCTCCACCCTCTGGGTTTGTGCAAGGACACTCTGATGTTTGCACGATGAAGTCACCTAAGGACACATTTCTCAGAACATGTCCTATCATCAAACTACACGTGACTGTACATCAGCTGCAGTGTGAGACTCGTGTGTCTCCACCAGTGAGTCGCTGTTCTTCAATGGACAGCAGCATTCCAAGGATGAAACTGTAAAAGCCCTTCTAAAAAAAAGCATTCAGGATTTCTAAGGCAATGCCGTCTTTGCCTCTGAGAAATGGCTACTTCACAAACTCCCATAACAGAAATTTCAAAGGTGAAAGGCACAGAGAGCGTGAGTAGAGCCAGGATCAGTTTACGTCAATTAGGAAGTGGTGTCATCAGCCCGAGTGAAACTGGATGTAAATGGAAGGGTCAGATGCAATATACCAGAATTCCCCTCTCAGACTGATGGGCCAGGAACAATCCCTCTTCACTGTGCAAATGTGTAAGATAGTGGGAAGACCAAAATGGAGTCCCCTTGGAGGCCCCCCTTGAAGTCAGCCGCTGGACGGCCAGACACGGAAGCTTACTGTGGGGGAGCACTCCATCCCCAAATGAAGACAGAGGTTGCACTGCATGAGGAAATGCTGCTGATTAGACTCCAGAAGAAATTATTTAGCAAAAGTGAACATAAATAGAAGCACAAAAATCACAGAGAACATACAGGCTCAAGAGAAGTCCTGAGTGCCCATTTGAGGGAGAATGTTTCTGTCAAGTGGAGGAAGAGACAGAATAGGATAAAATAGGGGGAACCAAATATGTTTAAATGATACAGGGAAGGGAAAAATCAGCCCAGGGAGAAGTCAAGGAGAAAAATAAGGCGAATAGCCGAGTGCCATGACGACAGCAGTGGACGCGGGCCGGGAGGGCGTCAGACACAGCAGGTGCTGACTGAGGCGGAAGCCGGCGGGACTTAGCACCAGGGATGGCTGAGAACAGGACTTTACTCTTGGGGAAATGGTGACTTTGATAGATGAGGAGTAGCATCGCGATGCCACAGCTGTGCAGCTGCTCACTCTAATTGTACATGTGTGAGGAAAAAAGCCAATGAAAAAAAATTAATCCAGAAGTTATTTAAGGGAACAACATGGTAGAATCAGCCAAAACCCCGCATTTAGAGCATAGGAGCAGCAGTTGTGATTGTGGACTCGAAATAGTAAGAAAAGTTTGGATTGTCATCTGTTTACTAAAGCAGAAGAGGAGTGTAATAGTTTTTTAGTAACAATCAAAAATCCTTGGAAAAACATTCCAGCGCTAGTGCTGAGAAAGGATCGGAAAAGTAGGTCATCTGAGAAACAGCAAAGCCAAACTGAGAAGCTTCTGTGACTTCATAAAGTACCTTCAACTGCAGAGTCGAAGTGCTTCTCACACACAGTGCAACATGTGTGCGCATGTAATTTTATATATGTTACCTATCACATACAGTGCAACATGTGTGCATGTAATTTTATGTTACCTATCACATACAGTGCAACATGTGTGCATGTAATTTAATATATGTTACCTATCACATACAGTGCAACATGTGTGCTCATGTAATTTTATATATGTTACCTATCACACACAGTGCAACATGTGTGCATGTAATTTTATATATGTTACCTATCACATACAGTGAAACATGTGTGCGCATGTAATTTTATATATGTTACCTATCACATACAGTGCAACATGTGTGCATGTAATTTTATGTTACCTATCACATACAGTGCAACACGTGTCCACATGTAATTTTATATATGTTACCTATCACATACAGTGCAACCTGTGTGCGTGTAATTGTATATATGTTACCTATTCACATACAGTGCAACATGTGTGTGCATGTAATTGTATATATGTTACCTATTCACATACAGTGCAACATGTATGTGCATGTAATTTTATATATGTTACCTATTAACATACAGTGCAACATGTGTGTGCATGTAATTTTATATATGTTACCTATTCACATACAGTGCAACATGTGTGTGCATGTAATTTTATATATGTTACCTATTCACATACAGTGCAACATGTGTGCGCATGTAATTTTATATATGTTACCTATTCACATACAGTGCAACATGTGTGCATGTAATTTTATATATGTTACCTATCACATACAGTGCAACATGTGTGCGCATGTAATTTTATATATGTTACCTATCACACACAGTGCAACATGTGTGCATGTAATTTTATATATGTTACCTATCACATACAGTGCAACATGTGTGCGCATGTAATTTTATATATTACCTATTCACACACAGTGCAACATGTGTGTATGTAATTTTATATATGTTACCTATCACATACAGTGCAACATGTGTGCGCATGTAATTTTATATATGTTACCTATCACACACAGTGCAACATGTGTGCATGTAATTTTATATATGTTACCTATCACATACAGTGCAACATGTGTGCGCATGTAATTTTATATATGTTATCTATCACATACAGTGCAACATGTGTGCACATGTAATTTTATATATGTTACCTATTCACATACAGTGTAACGTGTGTGCATGTAATTTTATATGTTACCTATTCACACACAGTGCAACATGTGTGTGCATGTAATGTATGTATGTTACCTATCACACACAGTTCAACATGTGTGCATGTAATTTTATATATGTTACCTATCACAGACAGTGCAACATGTGTGTGCATGTAATTTTATATGTTACCTATTCACACACAGTGCAACATGTGTGCTCATGTAATTTTATATGTTACCTATTCACATACAGTGTAACATGTGTGCGCATGCAATTTTATATATGTTACCTATTCACATACAGTGTAACATGTGTATGCATGTAATTTTATATGATACCTATTCACACACAGTGCAACATGTGTCCACATGTAATTTTATATATGTTACCTATTCACATACGGTGCAACATGTGTGCGCATGTAATTTTATATATGTTACATATTCACATACGGTGTAACGTATGTGCATGTAATTTTATATGTTACCTATTCACACACAGTGCAACATGTGTGCGCATGTAATTTTATATATGTTACCTATTCATATACACTGCAACATGTGTATGCATGTAATTTTATATGTTACCTATTCACACACAGTGCAACATGTGTCCACATGTAATTTTATATATGTTACCTATTCACATACAGTTCAACATGTGTGCACATGTAATTTTATATGTTACCTATTCACACACAGTGCAACATGTGTGCATGTAATTTTATATATATTACCTATCACATACAGTGCAACATGTGTGTGCATGTAATTTTATATGTTACCTATTCACACACAGTGCAACATGTGTGTGCATGTTATTTTATATATGTTACCTATTCACATACAGTGCAACATGTGTGTGCATGTAATTTTATATATGTTACCTATTCACACACAGTGCAACATGTGTGCATGTAATTTTATATATATTACCTATCACATACAGTGCAACATGTGTGCGCATGTAATTTTATATATGTTACCTATCACATACAGTGCAACATGTGTGCGCATGTAATTTTATATATGTTACCTATTCACATACAGTGCAACATGTGTGTGCATGTAATTTTATATGTTACCTATTCACATACAGTGCAACGTGTGTGTGCATGTACTTTTATATATATTATGTATATATTATCTTATGTTCTATTCCTCTAAAATAGGAGAAAGATATAAAAACAAAGACATTAAAGGACAATTAACCAAGGACTCACAAATGACAGTTCCCGAGGGGTTCGGACATGGAGATAAGGAAGAGAAGGCACATGTGACGTGGCAGAAGGGATTACGAATGGGAGACAACGTGAGGGAAAGTCAAGAGGGAGCCGTATTTACTACCGTGAATTAGAAAAGAATGCAAACTCTCAAAATATCCGCAGAGGAGAAGCTATTCCCATGGCAGAGTGTGGCTTTCCACGCAGGACAGTGATGCTCTGTGCCTTTTACTCCTCTCGTTCCCTACCTGGTGGGCTCTTGAAGACTTTCATTCCCACTTCCCCATTCCACTTCCCTGAAGAGATCCCGGGGATGAAGGGAAGGCTAGACCTGCACCCCGTGCATTACAAGCACCCGCCTCTCTCTCTCCTCTCTGTCTCCCTCCTCTCTCTCCCCATTTTCAGCACATGGTTTGTTCAGACTGCTGACCAGCCACCACCAATGACAGGCACAGCCTCATAGAGTAATCAGATTCATACACGCTAAACCCTGCATCGTGCTCTGTGTGACAATAAATATAATAATGTGCTTCTACTCACGTAAGTTTTACACTCACGACAAATAAGATATTAATAGGAATAGCTTCTCAAATCTGTGGCTGCACATCATAAATCACATCTGCTTGTACCTTGTTGTTAGTTACTTACAATGTTCTTCTTACGGTTTCAATGGGCCTTTGCTCTGGTGTCAGCGTCAGTGTTAGAATTGCCTAATTCCTTATGGTGACCGAAGCCAGCGTTTCAGAGTCAGACATGTCTGCGTTTGAACCCATCTCTGCTGGTTTTTAGCTATATGGCCTTTAGCAAGTTATTTAATCCCTAAATTCTTCACCAAATTTCTCACCCGATTGTAGCTCGCACGGTTGTAGGAAGAATGAAATGAGAGAATCAGAGGGCACTGCTGCGCCTGCCCCGAGTGTGGACGTGTGCCATACGGTCAGCTGCTCACGTTCTTCTTTCCCATTTTCCGTGATTTTCTCCCAAATCGTTCAGTGAGAGTCACTCTGGGATTCCTGTGGGATTTGCCGCAGTGGCTCCCTGGGGAAAGATAAACTTCAGTAGTTAGGATGCTTGGTAAGGTAAGAGGGAAGCCCGACATGAGAAAAAAGTTTGCAAACCTCCCCATAGCAGAAAAATAAGACCAGGGAAGAAGCTGCTAATTAGCCAGAGGTGCAATGATGTATTGTGACTGTCAGCGAGGAGCCGAGTTGGAACTATTTTTGCTGCAGAGGTAGCCTTCAGGAAGGGCCGTGTTTCCCCGTATTTTAATCTGAAAGATAAAAATCATGACTGAAAAGCTCCCTGCATTAGTAATGGAGAGAAATGCCTACATTCTAGCAAGGTTTTCATGATACAAGACAGGTTTTCATACATCTGAGATCAGGGAAAATAATTATCAATCAAAGATAACCTCCAATGCTGGTTTGAAGTAAGATTGGAGGTCGGTGAAAGCCAAGACAACAGAGAAGACTGGATTGTCTCTGCAATTTTGAGGAGCTCATCCCTAGAAATACTGTCTTACAAAGTTTCAGCTGCATGTGATTTTGAAACATTAACGATTTAATGCCTGCCAGACGAAGAAACACAAGGGATGTCAAAAACCAAAAGCAGGTATAACTGTCTCATCGGCATAAAAACAGAGGCTGACATCATGACAATGAAAAATCGTCCCAGGGCCAGAGTATGTAAACTGGAGTAATGTCCAAACACAAATCTCATAGTGCTTTGGAAGAATATCACTGGAAATCGATGAAAGAAGGGCCATCTACACCATCTGCTCCCCAGAGGACAGAGAGTCCACAGAGAACAAAGTCAGTGGCCCTAGAAGAGCCCTTTGCTATGCAAATAAGCTGGGACATCCATCCACATGTACTCGCTACATCAAGACTGTCTGTCACTCCTCCGTGCTGCAGCCTATAGGGCTGTGGAAGCTTAGTCATATTTATTACCTAACCCATGAACATATGGGCTCTTTGATCAGAAAGTAACTTTTGGCCCCAACTCGCCATTCCTACAACGTCGTTCAAGACCAGCGAAGTGTTGAGAACCTGGAAGGTTCTAATGTGCATTCAGTGACTGCTCTCTGAGCCTTTGTTTTGCCCAGACACTGGGTTATGGAGGAACAAAAGGCTTACATTGTTAGCAACTACTAGACTATAACATTCTTACTAAACAGTCACTTTCTTGAAAGCTCAGACCATCTTTTATTAAATGTTTGCAATTAATAGAATATGTCCCTTGGGTGGTTTCTCAATTAAGATTAAATCGGGGGGGAAATGAGAGAACAAAAAATTAAATGGGGAATGAAGAAAAGAAAGGAGAACATGTGAAAAGAAATGGGGGTGGGGAGAAAAGTAAAACGTAAGTGGCACTGCAGTCACTAACTCTGAAATCCAGATGGGGACATACACCAAACCAGGCAGGCAGGCCAAATCAGTCAGTGCAATGTTCGCTAGCCACTGTAACAAACAACCCCCAATCTCAGTGACTTCAGATAAAACTATGTCTTCCTCATGCAAACTCATCACCCCTTCAGCGGCCCTACTTGGTGGGTCTCCTCCGAGAGCTAACTCAGAGACAGGAGCTGCTTCCAGGCTGTAACTCTGCCACCTAGAACGTGTGGGTTCCTGGATTCCCACAGGAGGAAAGAAGACAGTAGTGTTTTATGGTCAACTCTGGAAGTGGTTGCCATTCCACCTACACACCACTGGCCGGAACAGTCACAGGCTCCCAATGTCACCCACAGGGCGTCTGGGAAATGGAGTCCTTTCCTGTTTCCAGCACGTGGGGGCCTCTCTATGAGGAAAAGGAGGAATTCAATTCTGGACAAATCAATCTGAATTAAAGAGCCACACTTGTCACACAGAAGCATCCATCTGTGTGAGCAGACAGGAACGACTCCATGAAAGTGAGGGACTCCGGCAGGAGGAAGAAAGGCATCTTGGGCGGAGGTACTGTCTGAGCAGAGGTTTGGAGGACATGTGTGTGGGTACAGCTGAGGGACAAAACAGTCCCATCTTCCTGGAGCCGAGGTTTTGAGGAGCTGAAGAGAGTGACAGAGACCAGATAAGGCAATTAGGCAGACTGGAGAGGCTGTTTTATAGCAGCCAAGGAGATTTTTGCGGCAGGCCAGCTCTCACCAACAGCTGGACAGGCAGGCCTCCGTCACAACTGTCTCCGCACTGACTGAGTGGTTAAGCTACCTACTAAAAGCTGAGAGAACCAGTGTCCTTACATGTAGCAAAAGCCCACCAAGAGTTCTGCCCAGGCCTCTCCCGGGCCTTGGAGAATGACAGGATAATGAAGGAATTCTTTACAGGACCTGCTTAGGATTAAACCAGGTTTCACTGGGGGCTGAAGAAACTCCCCAGACCTTCACAGCAATGTTTTATTGGGGCTCTGAAGGAACTCCCCTAACCTCCATGATTCAGCAGGAGACAAGATAGAAAGGTAATCACCTGGACCCAGCTCTATTAATAGATTTACTGCAGCTCCAAAGGAAGGGCTTCTCAGCTCATCCCTTAGTTACAGAAGTTAATCACTATGTCTTTAGATGAAGGCACATGTACACATAGACACAAAGCTTAAAAGGTATATAAGCTCTGGAAACACTGTCATTTTGAGTTGTCTGGCGATATTTTCCAGGCCTTCTCCTTGTACCCGGTTACAGAAACAAGCTCTCTTCTTTCCCAGTTTATCTGCATCTCGGTATTGGGCCACGAGCGTAAGCAGCCCGACTGTTTGGTGGGAACAAACTGACTTATCCCTCTGGGTAATAAAACGCCTTTGTCCATAGCTCCTGGCTACGAGCAGTGAACAAAGCCAGGGGTCTGCATGTGCATTAAAGAGAAAACCCACTGGGAACAGCAAGCCAGGCAGCCTGCTCTCCAGGTCCCCAGGTACCAGTCTTGGCCTCAGTACTTAACTGTCGGTGTTCACTGGACAAGCCCATCAAGTCCTTTGTGTCCCAGCTGATTCATCTATAAAATGAGGAGAATCATGCTTAATGCGTAGGAAAGCTCTGTGGATCGGTGTTTAACGTATGTGAGAGGAAGTAGAGCCACGTCGACACGTGCAGTCTGGAAGGGCAGCAACCACGAGGAATAGGGAGGGAGGGCGGTTACGGAGATGGACTTGCCAGCGGGGCACTGGGGAGACTCACATGATTTGGAAACGCAAAAGGCACGGAAGACAGAGCACAGAGAGAAATCACAAGCAGAGCCAGCTTCTGAGTCCAGGTAATGAAGGAACCATGGCATCGCCAAAAAGCGATAAAGTATGTGGGTGGGGCTCACTTGATGGGGAACACAAGGAGTTAGACTGTGCACAAATCAATCTGAACCGAAGGCCAGAAACCAGCTGTCTCTTAGGGAGCAAGAGGCACCCGACCAACGTCCAGGAAGTGACTGTCCTTTAAGCTCAGTTTACGATCAATTCAGTAGAAAGAGTTAAATCCCTATGTGAAGTAAGCATTACAATTACAATCACTGTCAGAATTTGTGATTACTCTAATATGGATGTAAATTAACTGCAAATAGTGTTTTTGGCATCTGAATTTATCCCCTTCTTTTTTAAAAACACAGGAGTTAAACGCCTCCGCGAATATCAGCATTGGAAGAAAAATCTGTTTATAATGGAAAGGAACAGCAATGTTCCAAATCTACTTGAGAAGCAGAAAATAAAATTTCTCCTCAGGCTTTTCCTCCAGCAAAACGTTCCCGTTGGTGCTGGCTTCCTGCTTCAGTCCTTGGAGCTTTCCAGAACCCCGAGACTCAGCTCACTGCCCGGCGCCACCCGCCTTTCCTGCATGGAGCTGCGGTCAGGCCGGCAGTTTCTCCACTTTCTTTAGTTCTCTGTTTTATTTCCAACATACTCCAGAGCTGGCTGAGGAAGGGGAGGCGGAACCTCGTGTTGCCCACTGGGTCACCGGGGAGGACACACAAACCTCTATCATAGGGGCACTGGTTCCTGGGAATTCCAGCCAATGACAGAGCCGGGTGGCCTGAATTGCAGGTTTGAAAATAAGACTAAAGTCAGAAAGAACAAATAAGCCGATGTAAATGAAATGCAAAAAAAAAAAAAAAGAAATTTCACAGGATTTTGCAAAGTTTTGTTAAGCATTCAAATTCCAAAACACTCAACCAAACAACTTTCACAGCTATTTGTGCCTCGGGCTAATTTACGAATTCAAAGCTGTAATCCGCTCGGGTTAGTAAAAGCCTGGGGAGAAATGCCAAATGTGGGTGAAGGGGAGAAAGAAAGCAAAACACACTGCCATGTGTGTACCTATGCAACTGTCTTGCATGTTCTGCACATGTACCCCCAAACCTAAAATGCAATAAAAAATTTAAAAAAAAAAAAAGCCTACAGTGGAAGGAAAACTGAGGCACAGTGCAAACTGATCTCTCACGTGGTCGCTGATTTATCGTCTAAGACATTTGCAAAACCTCTCTTCTCACGGACTCCAAATATTATCTGTATGGGCACTTGCTGTCAAACCGGAATGGCTCCGTGCGTATGAAATGCAATTATTAATCTCAAAAGTGTGAAAGCAACCTGGCCATCTAGGTAGAGCCCTAACGTAGTGCCCGGGACAATTTAGGCACATCCCTTTCTTTCTTATAAACAAGATATGGAAAAGAACAGCTTGCCCTAGAAAAAGCAGACCCTCAAATGAGAGGCCCACTCAGCCTCTCGGCTTCCTCTGCCTGCGGCATTTGGAAGACACACCTGCCCAGAGAGAGTGTTGAGCTGGATCGCGGTTTGCGAGGCTGAATCCTGGAGTATTTGAAGCAGGTCCGGCTAGAAGGGAGGAGTAGGAGCAGTAGCACTATGCGTGCTGGTCTGAATCCAAGTCAGATATGACTGAGTTACAGCCAAAGAAATAATTCAAAGACCAGCACCAACTCCAAAGACAGGGAAGTTGCCCCAAGTGAAGGGTGAGTCCATGGCTGAGCAAGAGAACGTAACCAGGTATGTCTGCAACAGCGTGAAGATGGTCCTGAGCAGCAGGTGAGAGCATCACTGGGGTTTCCTTG